CACCTGCATATCCACATTCACCCTATCCCTGTCGCGATTCAGGCCCTTCGTCATTACCCTGCTCTCTCCTTTCCTCCCAACCCCTTCCCTCTCCCTCCGCGCCGAGCCCCTCTTCCTACCTTGCAACAATCTCTTCTTTCCCACCTCGTCCGGATCCCTCTACACGACCTGGATTCCTCACCCTGTTGGCTTGGGAGTTCTTTCCCCTGAAACTTCATTGCCTCCCTCATCCTCACCCTGATTGGCTGACATCCCGACATCCTCCTCCTCTCGATCTCATGTCCTGATCGCCGCCGCCCCTCCCAACGCGTCCTGCCTCCCATCCCCTTCCGGTCCTTGACCTCCATCCTCCTCCCATTTCCTTTGGGACCCTCCTCTCCTCAACGTCTTCCTCTCCACAACCTCCATCCTCCTCCCATTTCCTCTAGGACCCTCCTCTCCTCATCCTCCACCTCTCTTCCCCCTCCACAACCTCCTTCACTCCTTCACGCCGGCAAACTGACCCTCCGCATGCTTCACCCTATCCCGACCCAGTGACTCTCCTTCTGCTTCCTCTTTCGTCGCATCCAATCCTGACCGACCGAATCCCTCCCTTCCCCTCCTCCTAATCCCGCATCCTCCCCCTTCCCCTTCCTCCTCCTCCTGCTACTCCTACTCCAACTCCTCAAGATTTCAATGGCGTCCTACTCCTGCCCGCCTGACCAGGCACTTGACTTCCCCCTACTGTTCCTCTGCCTGACCTGCCTCTCCACATTCACGGCAAGACCTGCCTACTCCTTCCAATGGCGGCCGTGCACAAATCCTGTCCAACTTCTTTTTTCTTTTTTAGCCCCCCTTGCAAAATAGCACCCCTGGAAATGAAATGGAATCTGCATTTTGAGGGGGGAAAGAAGGAAAAAAATTAGCACCCCCGCGAAAATGGAGTTGCAGATCTAAACGAGTGGACGGATGGATGGAGGGAGGAGGTAAGAAGGGAAGTGGGGACGCCGGGAAGGTGGGTGGGGGAGGGGGGGGCCACAGAGAGAGAGAGAGAGAGAGAGAGAGAGAGAGAGAGAGAGAGAGAGAGAGAGAGAGAGAGAGTACTTCCCCACGCCGGGCGAACCCACTTATTTCACTTTTGGGCGGGTGTGAGCGGAACTCTTCACCTCTGCATGCACAACACCGCTGATAGAGGGAGGGGGGACGGGGGAGAGCGGGTGCACTTCATCACGCCTCGAGAACTCACCGATTTCCGTTTCGGGCCTGGTGCGAATGCAACGGTCCACATCGTCAGGCGCAACATGGCAGGGACAGAAACACACACACACACACACACACACACACACAGAGAGAGAGAGAGAGAGAGAGAGAGAGAGAGAGACAAGGCTCTCTCCACCGCGGGGCCTGTTTGAACGCGCCCTAGCCGGCCGGCGCGTTCAAACAGCCGTCGCCATTTGCGATCGGAGGAGCCCCTTCGGAGGGTCGGAGGGTTAAGTTCTGGTTTGGAGTACCCACGGGTTGCTGCTGCCATCTGATCTGAAAATCTGACGGCCACAGTGCGACCAGCACACTTGCCAGCTGGGCTACCACCACCAGGCAGTTCGATGATGAGAAAATAGAAAGGGACCTCGCCCCACCACTCACCAAGGCCCAAAGGGGTCCCCTCAATATAGCCGTACGAGTAGTAGTAGGTAGCGCGGGCCTACCCGTCTTACCCCGAACTTAACGCACCCTGATAATGAATGTATGAAGCTATCTTTCCGGTCCGGTGCGGCCATAATGAGGGTGCGTTGTGTTCGGGGGAAGACGGCTCAGCTGGTAAGGCACGGATGTTGCATGCAGGAGTGGGTTCAATCCCCATTGACCTCACGTACTTGTCTGGGCAAGTTTGGTCGTACTTGTCTGGGCAAGTTTGGTGTTCTACCAGCTAGAGATAACCCGTTGCGCCCCCCAATGTCACTCGTCTGGGCAAGTTTGGTGTTCTACCAGCTACAGATAACCTGTTGCCCCCCAATGTCATTGGATCAGTGACTCTGGGCCTCAGCCCTCCTCCGTGCAAGCACGGACTCGAACTCACGACCTCATTCTCGAGAGCCAAGGATCGTAACCACTACCGCCAGGACAAGGTGTTCAAGGGCGGAACCATACGGGCCGTGATATCCGCCCTGCCCCTGCAAGGCTGTAGTGTCCACACTCAACGCACACCACAGGGAACACCACACGGGCGCTGGTGATCACCGCACACTTCGCTCCAAGTAGCACATGACCCCCATCGGTAGCATAGCCCGGTCACTTATGTGGGACTCTGCCCGCCAGTTACCCAGCATTGGCAGGACCCTGGCTGATACATGCCCAGTTGGGCAATGAATACGGAGCCAAGGATCCGCAATGTGATGAAAAGGACTGAATGGACAATGCAATGTCAGTGAAACATCAACAGGCACTGTACATCCGGATACATACAAAAATGGCACGAAGTAGCGCAGTGGAAGCCTAAAACCACCAGCGCCTACCGGTTGGGGCGGTCGTTAACACGGAATCCTAATCGGCGTGCCCCTCTGGTCCCAATTCATTTGAGGCCAGGGTTCACGAAAAATGTGGTAGGTACTGGTGGTTTAAAGACAAGTCCTAATCTGACTAGCATTGACACGACATCCCATCACACACCACACATGAGAGAAGGAGGAGGGACCGGCACACATTGAAGAAAGGTCCCTCCTTAATTGCACACATGGGGGAGATACCACGGACGAGAGATGGGGGGAGAGGCGAGACGAAGAAGGAGGTGAGGGAGAATACCAAGATTGTGATAGCGAAGTCCAAAATAGTCCCTTGCCGGATGTCGCACCAATATCTGCCTAAAAAATGTCGGATCATATCTCGAGCGCTATGCCCGTCATAACCTCTACCTGTATCCTTTGCATGTAACCTCTCTCTCTCTCTATCCGAAGAAGAAGAAGAAAAGAAGAAGATGGAGGAAGGAAGGAGACGAGAAGGAGACCGACGAAGAAGAAGAAGATGTCACCTTCCTCGATGTCTCTTCTAGAGCAGAACTGATCGTCGTCCTGTCGTCACCGTGTGCAGGTCGCGTGCGCATGGGAGTCCCTGCTATGGCGCCAGGTAAGTCCCCCTATCGCAGGTATGGTCTCCGCCCCTCTGCCATGTGATGCTCAGCCCCTAACTCCACAGCGCAGCACTCAACCAGCAGCGTGTCGCTCAAGAAGTGAGTTGTCAAACTGTTTGTCTGCGCAAGTTGTGGCCCAGCTATATACATTGTTGGGCCCTACTGGGTGGGCTGACGTGTGGCCTAAAACGGTCCGCGCGGTCAGGGCCCCTACCGGGTGCTCAGACCGTGTTGTTGATGCAGCAAGGCGCAAATAAGTGTTTGGGTCTCTTTCGGCCCTGCCTCTGGTGTACCCACCCTTGGGGACTGCAAGTCCGAAACGATGGCTGAACAGATAAAAATAGGACAACACATACATAAATAAATGAATAAATAAATAAATGTGTGTTACCTCAATTTGTACATGCGGCCTAAGAGGCCGTCGTAGGCCTCCAAGGCGCGTGTTTGATGGCACGGGGCCTGGGGGTCCCTCCAACAAATGTCGGGCCCCTCAAAATGAGGCCCGTGTGCAATACTGCCTAATGTTGTTAGTTGCTATGCAGCGACAATATTGGCCATTAGACACCCCCATGAGAGGGGGAGGCGGTAGGGGGAGGTGTAGTGATTGGCCATTCTTCGGCGCTAGCACCTCCGATTTCCCCCATAGGCAATGGCTGCCCACCGCTCATCATTGTGATGAGGGACTGGTACAACCTTGCTCTCACACCATTGTTGTGGTGCCAACCTACCCCGTGGGAAAGGGAGAGATCCGGGTCGGTTGGTTTTCCCCCATACTATATATAGACTAGCGAGAGGATGAGATATCTAAGAAAATAATAGTATAACTTACTTTTATAAAAAAAAAAAAAAAAAAAAATGAGAGAACATTATAATTTGCAAAATACACCCATAAGTTGAGAAAAATGTCAAAATGCCCTTGAAAGATGTGGGTAGAGCAGAATGTTATTTTGAGCCAAGATCTGTGTTATGCCGGTGTCAGGTGGGTGTGCAAATTTACAATTTGGACCTCCCAGTTTGGGCCTTGGGCTTTGCAATCGGGCCTATGAAAAGTTGACAAGAATAAGGGTATTTTGCAAAGTTTGAGGGTACCCGGTAGGGGTATAGTGCACTGATTGGGGCATAACCAACACCGGGGTCATTCGCAAAATATGTTTTTTGTCAGAGGAGCATTCCACTCTACCCACACCGTTCAGGGGCATTTTGACATATATCTCAACTTGTGGGGGTATTTTGCAATCCCTTTTTTAAACCACCAGTCCGAACGAAGTTTTTTTTTCTTTTTTAAGGGCGGCAGTCTTGAGATATATCCCCAGGTGACCAGTCCCAAGTAATTTGATGTTATTCAACGAACCAAAAAGTGTTTTTTTGCAGAACCTGCAACCAACAATGCAGGTTTTTGGTTTCTTTGAGGGAGGTACTGATACCATCCTACCTTGAAACTGAAGTGTTTTGTCTCAACACTATAGGCGGCGCTCAGGCGATAGGGGACCAAGTTAACGCAACGACGATAATAGTTGTGTTGTGCCAAAACATGTGGTCGCAGTGACATAGACAAGGAGGGTAATAGGGCGCAATGATATTTTCGATTGGTATTCTCGTTTGACTATAGAAGGAAGTTGGGCAATGTGGAGGTGGTAAACGAGTGGGATCCAAACATCACGTATATTGAAATATGAAGCCCGATCAGGGAAGTTTCCCCTGCTTCGTGATAAACCTTTGGAGTATATGAAGGTCGTTGAAGAGAAAGTCGTATATTGTGATGTTGTGGAAGATGGTTAAGACACATTAGTAATGCTAATTTCACGTGCTAACTATTCGATTACAAGCGCTTTGTGCTTATGGATACCATATCACGCTTTCTATCAGTTGTCCGTGTGCTTAGGTGCTTCATCGCTTTTGTTTGATGTCTAATAGTATGTTATTGACGTCTAGTTTTGTTTCGCCCCTTGTTAATTATTAGCTAGATAGACTATTGTGATGACATAGGGATATGTTTAAATTTGACTTTCATTCCCTTTAATTTTGTTACGCACAATTTTTTTGTTTTGCACCCTATTGGTCGGATAAGTATACGAATTGTAATAAAGACGTAGGGAATGGGTTTAAATTTAACTTTAATCCCCTAAACTTTGCCACACATGGAATCCTTGTCTTGCCCCATGTTAGTTCAAAAAGGTAGATGGGTCATAGTAATGACGTAGGAGGTAAATTTGGAATTGCCTAATTTTTTTGAGCTCGTACGATTTATTTATTTTTTCAATTATTGGTTGGTCACGTTATTGAAGGGCTTGAGGGGAGCATCTACTAGTTCGCCACTTGGTGAGATTTTTTTTTTCAATCTACTAGCTGCCCGTTTGGTGGTAGTTTTTATTACTTATTGACTCAACGAGAGATTTATATTTTTTTCTTATGCACCAAACGACTATCGAAGAAAACATGTATTGAAATATGGATCAAGGGTCTACTGTATCTCACCAGTGTTGAAGGACGATTGTCAATATTAGTGTTGGGAGGGAGTCGTTGAGAACTTCCCCGAGTATGGATCACTGCTTAACTCGGTTGCAGTGACAAATTTGATCGGCTTGTTATACTTTCCATCGATTCTGATACTTGTTCAACATATCCCGCCTTTGGTATGCCTCATCTTCCTTTAGAAAAGATTCATTGTTTCTTTGTTAGGGACGTCGTGTACATGAAAAATGGTTGAAGGAGTTGAATGAGTAATTTTTATTTTGATTATGAGTAATTTTGATTATGTTGTATTCATAATTTAACCACGAGGCTCATTGATTTCCTATAGCGGACATTTTTTCGTTTGTTGCTTCTGTTATTTTTCAGTACCTTTTTAGAGGTGGTGAAAAAATTTTATTACGATTAGGGTTCTTAAGTTATTATCAAATTATAACATAGGGAAGTGAAAGGTGAGTGCGTAGTCTTGCAATTTCACTATATGGTTAAAGTTGTTGAGATTGTAGTTATAATCCACCAATAATCACGTGTTGAGGGTGTATTTGTGCTATAGGGCTGAGTCGGGATTGCCATGCAATTAAAAAATTAGGGGAATAAATTTGCAATTAATTGCTTTTATTTTAAATTTTGTGTTGATTTAATTCCTTTGTTATATAATAGTTAGCGATTGGTTAGGCCACGTGCCTTACTCATCCCAACGACCACAAACAATGATATAAGGGACGGTTGACCCGTTTCCCAACATATGTTGAATGTGCAAGCTAAGTCTGGTGATGCTCTATGACTTTTTGGTAAAAACTTAAAATGTTGTATCTCACA